ACATTGGTCTTACAGTTTTTCTGCCTCCACAGTACCACCTGCACCTACCTGTGAACTTTGTTTGCTTGTTACAGAGAGAGGGAGAGGTAGGGTGCCACGTTTTCTGTTGACCGCAAAACCTATTTCCTATCATAGCGTATAAGTTCATTGTTGCCACATGTAATTTCTATTGAAAGGGTGAAAATGAATAGACTTAACTGCAGTCATGGCTTCATGTCTCTTCCTTGGGATTAGCGTGTGGGACAGAGCCCTTGTTTCTCCTCTCACTGACTAATTTAGTCTTGATTGTCATGTTACAGTGGTTATTCTAAGTCGTGAGTAAAACAGTATTTTTTACATATCTCTGGGGTTAGTTGTGCCAAACTTCTAAATTTTAACCCAGCAATTACCAAGTGTTTGATCCATTAAGAGGGAAGCTGCCACGACCAGGCGTGTCTGGTAGAGTGATTTGACTACTGAGGCTACTTAGTTGTGTTACCTATTGGAAGAAGCGGGGTAGACATCTAGATTAAGGCAGTTAGAAGCTAGGCGAGTTTCCTCAACACCACCTTAAGTAGTTCTACAGAATCCTATTAGGTCAAGAACCTGTAGGGAGGTAGAACCTAACCCTAGTAACGGAGAGCTGGACCAGTAGCCCTGTACAGGGTTATACTGGTACGGAACAACAACCACTATTCATAATGGTATTTACATACAGGCACTCCCTGCCCTCTGACATACCCTATAAAAGGTGTAATACTGCAAATGTTCTGGATTGGTTTACCTACACAGACTCATGCTCTGTGTTGGTAAGCCCACTATATAAATACTAATAAACACCCCGCTACAGCAAAATTCACGTGAGGACTATGGGTAAAATTTTTTCAACACTATAAATAAAATCACAATAAAAATTAAGAAAATAACATAACTATAATAATAAAACAAAAATAAATAAAACACCACAATATAACATTAACAATTAAAAGATTATTATATTACCATTGTGTATGAACACTGAACAGTCCACCTAAAAGCTTTTTTCGGGCCTTCTGCCACCAAATCTTCAAGGTCCAAAGACCTTCTAACCTCCTGTTTAATGGAGATGTGATCCAGTCCTGAAAGTCTTTCCTGGCTCATAGTGGACCTCATGGAGGGGGCTGGAAAAACTTCAACAGTGCTCCTAAAACAAAAATTATGGAAAATAGATAAAGTTATTGTCAAAACAGAACAGTTATGTTATGCATAGCATGGCACATTGTTTTTGCAGCTGTCTTCTTAGAGCCCTTCAACATAATGAGATATCATAGCAGCAGCTGGTGAACTAAGCCGAGCTGAGAACAGGACAATGGTAACTATTTATTATCTACTTATCATATGTCTTCCTTTTTGTGGGTCTCTAACTGTAATCACTACATATTAAGAGTTTTATGTGGATGTCCTTTCAGTTAGTAGCAATCACCTGTTTTTCACCTGCTTTTCCATTGCCTATATCAGCGGTCCCCAACCACGGGGCCGTGGACCCGTACCGGGCCGTGGATCATTTGGTACCGGACCGCACAGAAAGAGAAAAAAAAAAAGTTTTATTGTTTTATTTTTATTTCCAGCGCAGTCTACAGGGTGTTTTATTTTGAAAAATGACTAGGTCATCTTCCCGTCACTTCTGTCTGTGGTTGTTCTCTGCACTGGACTGATAGTTTTCATGAAGCCGTCAGTCCAAAAAACAAACGTCTCCAGAGAGCTTCTTTGGAAAGTGGGAGACATTCTGTGCTGAGACAGAAGGAAAGTAAACACATATTTAGCAAGGAATGTGAAACTTTTTAATAGTAACAATTATTTTCTGTTATGTGCGCAATGACCGGTTCATAGAAAACTTTCTTGCGTAAAACCGGTCCGTAGCGCAAAAAAGGTTGGCGACTGCTGGCCTGTATGATACGTTCACAATTCTAGGAACAAAAGTGACTTATGTTAAACCAACGGAAAGCGTGTTTGTTTGATCTGCACTGAAACGGTCGCCATGATGAAAGAGTACAATGTACGACGACATTATGAAACCAAACATCAGACCTTTGCTGTCACTGAGACCTGTGTGCTGCCAGTCTCTCTCTCTCTCCTCCACTCAGCCTGAGGCCTGCAGGAGGGCGTGCCCCGGGACGGCAACCGTTGGTGGCAGCAGGTGTTGGCGATCACCGTGATGACGGCGGGAGCCTGAGTGCCAACACCTGCCCTTTATAAGCAGCAGCAGAATCCACCAGCGTTGCCGGACTGTTCTCCAGTTTGTCTGCTGAACCCGTCAGTTCCAGCCAGTCTGAGTCTGAACCTTGTCAGTCGTGCCTTCAGTCTGACCTTCACCTGCCTCTCTGCCATCCCCACCTGTAAGCGGTAGAGCGGAGATGATTCCACCTCAGTCTGCTGCCTGCTCAGCTGCCTACAGCTCCTCATCAGCCTGGACCCCCTTCCCTTTTCTCTACGCTGCTCCGTCAGGTGACAGTCAGCCATAGGTTTTGTAAATACTGTAAATAGTGTTTGCTGATCCATGCTCAGTTGTACCAGGTTTTGGTTTAGCTTGTTTCTCCGTCCGTCAGTCCGTCGTAGCGCTAGATAGCGCTCATGGTTTGTTGTTTTCCTGTCAGTCTGTTAGGTTAGCTCTGGTTGTAGTTTAGTCTCTGAGTGTTTCTGTTTCACTGTAAATATTTGTAGATAAATTCACTTCTGCATTTATCCGTCTGTCTGCCGTGTCTCTGTCGTCTGTGCCTGAGTTCCTGAACCTTTGGTCACATTCATAGACGGATTACCGCATGGGCAAAGTGGGCGTGTGTCCAGGGCCCCAGAGCCAATCAGGGCCCTTGGCCTTCAGGTTGTTTTGGGAGTTTTTTTTGTGCAATAAATAAATAAATAAAAATGTGTTTGCTTTCTAATGTACTTTCCAACGTAACGTTTTCGTGCGTTTGCTTTCAAACGTAACAGACTACTTTTTGTACAAAAAAAAGTACGTATGACGTCAAAACAGTTTGTTTTCAAAATGGAGGCGAGCGCTCAGTGGTTCCGAAAAAAGAAAGCTAAGGAAAGAAAACGAGGATAAAAATGCTGCTTTGGCGCAGCCAATGCCATCAATCTCAACATTTTTCACCAAAACAGAGGCAAGATGACGGTAGGCCTGCTCATAACAGCGGTGGAAGTTGTACTACACCTCACTGCTCAGAGGATCAGCGGGATGCTAACACTGCTAGCTCAAGTGCACCGGACCGTGGACCGTGAGTTAATTGAGAAAGCCAACACAGTCGCCTCTGCCTATCCCGCTGATTTGGACAGCAATCTTGGAGATGAACTGATTCACTTCAGATCATTCATCAGATCAAACGGACAGAATGTGCCTCCATCAAAATGTCTTAAAACAATCCTGGATTGTGGATTACAGTCAACATTCCCCAATGTGTACATCGCCCTGAGACTTTATCTGACACTTCCTGTCACAAACTGAGGGAGAACGGTCGTTTTCTCAAATGGCCAGAATAAAAAACGAACTCAGGACCAAGATGACCCAGAAGCGCCTGAACAGTTTGTCACTCATGGCCGTAGAAGCCGAACTTGTCTGAGAGTTGGACTTCAATGACATTATCCAGGACTTCTCCTCCAGGAAGGTCAGGAAAAAGCCGCCGGTTTAGGTGAGATTTTATTTATTTTAGTTAAGGAGTATTTTAGTGTTATGTGTCCTGATGCGTGTATCAGTGCTGATTTACGGAGGCAAGATGGTTCTCGGCTCCTGAACTATAGATCATCACTGATACACACATCAGAAGTGGTACCATGGACAGCGCCAGTGATGTTGTTGTTTGTGTTTTGGTGGTTGTGTGTCGCCCAGTGTCATGTGCATAATGCGCGTACTGGCAAGGGCCCGTGGCATGTTTGTGTCCAGGGCCCGTGGTGATTATAATCCGTCTATGGTCACATTTGTATCCTGCGCTGGCACCGAGCGGGAAGAGAAGATGAAGCAAATGACAGCTCGTCTGCTAACCCAGCAACAGTTTTTTTTTGTTTGTTTTTTCCGCACTAACAAGGTTCAATAAAATGCCACAGTAGCTAGTTATGAAGTAGCTCAACTCATTGCCGTACACGGAAACCTTTCTCCGATGGTGACTTCATCAAACAGTGCCTCACTAAAGCTTCTTGAATAGTGTGCCCAGAGAAAATACAGGATTTGACAATGTTAGCGTATCCAGAAATGCTGTTGTTTGATGAACTGAAGACTTGTCGACTAACTTGAAAGGTCGTGCTTTCGAATTTTACTCGACTGCATGTGATGAGAGCCACGGACGCTGCACAGCTGTTGATTTTTTTTGTAGGGATTTGATGATAATTTTTGCATTAAGGAGGAACTGCTTGATCTCCAGAGTCTGAAGGGGACAACAACTGGAATGGATTGTTTTGAAGCTGTGGAAGATGCTATTGACCAGATTGGACTTAAATGGGACAGGCTGTGTGGGCTAACAGCGGACGGCGCACCGGCACGCACAACAGAATGGCATCTATGGTATGCGTTACAGTGCAAGAGAGTGGAGGTGAGGCTGTCAAAATGCACTGCATCATCCACCAAGAAGCCCTCTGGGACCTGCTCTATCATTCTGATGTGCGCTGGTTTAGTCGTGGCTCCAGGCTGCAGCGGTTTTATTCCCTGAGATCAAACATCGACACGTTTTTGAAAGAAAAGGGCAAACCTTTGCATGAGCCCAGTGACCCTTTATGGTTGGCAGACTTGGCTTTTTTGGTCGATCTCACTGATCATCTCAACACCCTGAACAAGAGACTACAGAGCAATGAGCAGCTTGTGCCACAGCTGCATGCGCATGTGAAAGCATTCTGTGTGAAGCTCCGTCTTTTTGAGTCACAACTTCAGTGTCACACACTTCCCCACGCTGAACGAAATAAAATGCGCATTTCCAAATGGCAAGATCGCTGCAAAAATGGGAGAATATGTGTGTGATCACATATCCATCCATCATCTATACACCACTTAATCCTCACTAGGGTCATGGGGGGCTGGAGTCTATCCCAGCTGACTCAGGGCTACACTTAGAGACAGACAACCAAGCACACTCACATTCAAACTGTCAAGTGGAGTCAAGGTTTGAGATCCCAGACGCGGCCACAAACAAAGAACTCTGGCTCTGCAGTAAGCAATACAAAAGACTTTATGATTTGAAATGCTACATGCTGTGCCACAAATATGATGATTGTGTGATTAAATTAAAGTAACGATTCTTGAATAGGTATTACATAACCAGATAATCAGTAGTGTTATGGTTAAGCCGATGATTCTGAACATTATAGTGGATTTAAGATGATTTTGGTGGTTTCCAGTGAAGTTCGTGATAAGGTTAAAGGAGCAAGTGAAGACAGGGTCCTTAAAGACGGCATAACAGGACAAGTCACATGAGGCTGTTAGTCACTGGATGAAGTCACTGCTAAAGCAGCCCATGGATCCTCTTTCTGTAAACAGAGGGCTCTTAAGCATCCTGTGTTTGCCAAACTGTGTTTGCAAAGATGGAGTTAAGTGTTGCACTAGAGGATGAAACACCTCATGACTCGGAGGTAAAAGGGTGAAACATCTATTAGCAATGTGTGTGTGATGATGAATGTGTGTAACTAGTGTGTATTACTGGTGTTGTCAAGTGGAGTCAGGTTTTGAGATCCCAGACACAGCCACTAACAAAGAACTCTGGCTCTGCTGTAAGCAATATAAAAGACTTTAATGATTTGAAACATTATATGCTGTACTGCAAATGTGACGATTGAATGTTTTAAGTAATGATTCTTAAATGAACCTCGTATAATCAGACAATCAGTAGTGTTAAAGTTAAGCTGATAAATTCCATTAGTATGAGTTAGGGAAAGTTAGGTAGTTTCCAGAGCTCGAGTGCAGGGGCAGATGTGTGTATGAGAATAGTGTTCTTAAGAGCAGGGTGAGGCAGGATAACTCGTGATGAGCTGTTAAGCCACCGGAAGTTAGCAAGCTGAGCTCAATGCTAAAGTAGCCATGATCCTCTTTTTAATAAACGGAGGATCCTCTTTTCATAACAGAGGGCTATTAGACTTCCTGTGCCTGCCAAACTATGCTCGTTCCGGTCACCATAAATGGAGTTGGTGTGTTGCACTGAAAAGTGCAACACCTTATGACTATGTGTGTGACAATGTATGAGTGTATTT